ACTCTTTCCAAAATTGACAAATCTCCTGCCTCTGGCTGCACCCTATGAAAAAGTACTACAAGCATCAGCATACAAGGGCAACATTTTTTTTTTTAATCTGTGGGGGAAAACAGCCCCAGAAAGATGCCATATTTAAGGTGTGGCTCAACAGCATCACTCATTTACATAGCACTTTCAATGTGCAAAGCACTTGACATGCATCAGCTGCAATAATCCTACAACAGTCCTGCAAAGTAGGCCAAAGTTTCTACCCCTGTTCTGTAGATGGGCAAACTGAAGAGAAAAGAAAATAGCTTGCTTAAGACTTCCCAATGAATTTGTGGACTGGGCCTTACATCACATCAGCACCTCCAACAGACTAATTCATCGTAAATGTTCAGGGTACGTAACATACTGGTCATTATGGAACTAGACCCTCCAAAAAGCCAATCAAAATAAAGCATCAAAAATAGTAAAGTCCACGTGCCACTTAGACCAGTGTCTTCGCCCCAAACCACTTCCACCCTACCAAAATCAAAGCAAAATTGGCAAAGGAGCACCCAGTTGAAGCTACATGGCTACTTGGAAGTAAGCCCCCTTAGAGAGAAACAGAACTCAGTTCTAAGGAAACATGTTTAGCTGCTAAACTTTAGCATCAGGATTCAAGACCTCACCCAGAAAGTATGCCTTGCTGAACTCAGCAGATGTTGATGCAAAAAAGTCAAGATCTTAAACCTTGCTTCCACGCAAAGCCATTTAAATCACCAGAGATATTCTGGAATAAGTGATCTGGAGGAGAAAACAGAACCAGAGGAGTGAAGAAGCCTCTTTGAGCCATAAGGAAAGGTAGAATATAAATATTTTAGCAGAAGCAAAGAAGAGTCTTGAAAGCTAATGACTGGACAGGGCCATCCTAGACATACTTCCACCCTTCTAACCCCAGTGACTTTAGTGGGCTTGAAAACGGGCAACACTGTTTAGAACAGCACTGCAATTGGGGTTAATAAACTAGACCCCGGTCCAGAGCACGCAATTGCCATGAAGTCACAAGTCTCCTTCTCCGGTTTTGCTGGTCCCTTCGACTTCGCCAGGGCAGGCAAACAGAAGAGCCTCCTCGGGCAGCGTGAGCCCGAGGCAGCAGGCGAAACTGCTCAGGATCACGAGAAAGCCGTGAATCTCATAGCCAGGAGCCCCAGGAGAGCTCCCAACGCTGAAGTTTGGAAGACGTCGAGGCACCAGCAACCCAGGCGTTGCAGACCAGCCTAAGTACAAAAGGTGGAGCAACTGCCAGTCGCTCCAATGGTACTACTCGGGAGGGCTGTGGCTTGCACCGGTTGAGTCCCAGCAGGCATCTGCCCCCAGTAAAGCCCAGCCTTGGTTCCTTAAAGCGAAAGCGTCCCGGTCCAAGAGCAATCCCCCCCCCCCCCGCTTACACACTCCAGGCTCCTGCAGAGCCCCGTTCTACCCTTCCCAGCCCGCAGAGAGACTTCTGTCCCAGTCACAAGAGCCAGAGATTCTTTTCTGCCTTCTTCCCCCCCAGCCACAAGCAGGGCAGGGACTCAGCCAGGACTCCGAGCGGCCGCGCTGCGCCCCAGCTCAGCCTATATAACGCCGCACCCAATCAGCGCGGCGCATCCGTCGCGCCGCCCCCGCAGCTCCTCGGCTTGCGCCCTAATTACTTTCAAGCCGCCCGCGACTGTTGAGACTGACCAGTTGGAGCCTGCGGGCGGACGGGCTTCCCGCATGCGGCGGGCAGCTCCCGTGGCAACCGCTGCTGACGTGCCGCGCTCCCGGAGGGGGATCGCCATGGAGATCTCGCCCATGCCGGGGGCTGGCGGTGGGGGACATCCCCTTCTTGTCGACTCCACCGGAGCTCCCGCGAAGATCAGGCCAGGGCCAACTCCCCTGGAGCCTCGGTGTGCTTTTCCCTCCGGTGGATTTCAGTGGGATCCCCCTTCGGGCCGAGCCATTCTTCACTGATCCTCTCCAGCTGCCGCTGTTGCCTCCAGCAGGGCCTCCTCGTCCTCCCCTGCCCATCTCTCCTTGCGCCAACAAAGGGCAAGAGAGAGGCGCTGCCCGGGGCTTTTGCGCGGCGGGAAGCTTCCCTGGCCAGCTGAGCCCCCCCTAATCAACAGCCGAGGACTCCACCCCAGCCCCTTAAGGGGGAAGTCCTTTTGTTCGACGGAGCAACGGCTTCTTCCCCCTTCGCTGGGATGGGGAAAGGCCGGGTAGCTTCTGTAGCGGCTTCTGTGCTTGGGAAGCTCTGCGCTCTGCGCCCCGCTTGGGCGGTAACGGATCCGTCTGGTCTGGAAGCTTTCGTCCAGGGTTTCTGGTTGGAAAAACCGCAGATGTCCTATGGGAATCCGGGAGACGGAATTAATGGGAAAGAAGCGCGCCTTGCTGTAAGGATGGCTTGGCGTGTGCAATTGAGAAGGGCGTCTTTTTGGTTTAGGAGAACGGTTCATGGTACATGTTCAATAAAATAACTTAGTTTTAACAGCAAAGAGCTCTTTTGTAAAACACAACTGAAAGCATGAATGCACAAAGGTGCACACCCTCTCCATGCCTTGCCCAGCTCACAAAAGGGTCTGTATTTCTGTCTTCCAGATCCTGAACTATGTCTTATTTTCTCATAGACACATACCTGTTCCCCTCCTCTCGGCGAGAAAGCACTTGGGCTGAGTCATTTCCCAACATGGAAGGTCCATCAAAAAGATAGCTGTAGTCCTTATAGTCCATTCATTCGGTCAACTAAGATAAACTGATCTGCAGCTATCATAATCCAACCTCCTTGACAATATTTTGTGGAGCTCTATTGGGACCGGTCAGGGTGAGGAGTGGTCACAGCCACAGGATGGAGTGCTGAACTCAACTGTCTGTGTCAGATTCTGCTAAAGCGGGGGGGCGGGGGGAGTCTTCATTAACTAAGGTACTGTGTAGATAACAGCTTCATTTTCTGTGGCTGTCTTCACAATTTCATAGTTCTGATGTGGGTTGCAGATGTCTGTACTTCTCTTGGCCTTGAGGTTTTGCTTCAGGAAAGGATGGACACACAACTTGCAGTCCAATCCTGAGCATATTTCCACAGACGTTTCTCAGGGAGTAAGCCCTGCTGAATAAGATAGGGCTTACTTCTAAGTAGGTCTGCTTAGAATTGCTCTCTGAGCAATACATGATTAGGATAACCACAAGGTTAGCTGAGTGAAATTTTTTTGTACCATTAAGACTGTCCTTTTTTTTAGCCCCAAAGCAACTTGACAGTACCTAAATCATTCAACAATTTTCACTTTATCAGTGTCAGTACTATGTTTTCAAACAATAATATTCATTTTAAGCTACATATCCTGTTCTTTTCCTTCTTCATTTAGTTCCCCAAATTCACAGCCATTATTTCAGGAATGCTCACAACAAACCTGTACAGTAGACCAGTCATATTAATGTAGTGTTGCATGCCTATTATCCACATTTTTGTCCCACCCTTCCTGGCTTTTCCCCTCAATAAAACTTGGAGCCAAGGCTGAGAAAACATGACTTGCCTAAAACAACCTATAACTTTCTGATTGAAACTAGATTTGAACCCAGGACTGTTTAGCTAACACTCCTGGTTACTGAACTTCACAGAGCTCCCATGCAGGTTTGGCAACCTGGTGGTTCATATTTAGTTTCTTTGGGCTACAATTCAAACTGAAGTAGTAACTTGGGGCAGTTTCCCCACATTCATAGAAGCATAGAGTTGGAAGGGACCTCCAGGGTCATCTAGTTCAGTCCCCTGCATGGTGCAGGAAATTCACAACTACCTCCCCACCCACCCCCAGTGACTCCTGCTCCATGCCCAGGAGATGGCAAAAAACCTCCATGATCTTCAGCCAAACTGGCCTGGAGAAAATTGCTTCCTGACCCCAAAGTGGCAATCAACATTTCCCTGGGCGTGTAAGAAAGGGCCACAAGAACTAGGCACTGTTGCAACCCTGCCTGCCCTCCCTCTCATGAACTGCCTAAATTCACAGAATCAGCATTGCTGTCAGATGGCCATCTAGCCTCTGTTTGAAAACTTCCAAAGAAGGCATTGTAACCAGGGTAGTGGCCTGAAGTGACTAAAACTTTAGCCATTCACTTTGCTTTGCTTTCTTTTCAATCTGCTGAGAGTTGCAATCTGGACAGCTCTTTTCCTATCTCTTCGGCAGCCAACAAATTCTGCATGAAAGATATAACCAGTGATGTCTGGAGTGGTGTGAATAAACTGTGCTGTCAGTCTGACGTTGCTGTTTGTGCATGCTCATCTAGGCATACACCTTATTGAACATAGTGGAAATTATTTCCAAATAAACTTCCAGTGCATAGGATTGCAGTATGCATTACAGCCCCAAGCAAGCCTTTCTTCTGTTAGCTGAGAAGCAGCTACAAACCTTTGACTTGGCATAATGAGGCCAACTGTCCAAGTATGCATCCACAAGGGAATATAATAACTAGTACTACTTACCCCTGAGTGAAAGAATACCCCCAAGTTGGGGGCCCCAACTCAATTCAGCATAAATTGCTCCACTGTTCTCGGTATGACAATCTCCAAAAGGAACGATTTTGAAAACTCTCCTTACCTCCTCACTATTTGATTAATTTTTCTTCTTGTTGGCATTTATTGAACAATACTAAATGGGAGATTACCAAGGCTGTAGCCAGTTTTTTGGTGGATATTCTTAAATCCAAACCTGGCTAAGTATGATTGTGTGTGTAACTATATACATATGTTAAATCCTTTTTTCCATTCTCTATATATTTGATTATGTATGTTATGCCATTAAAGATCAGAATTGAATTGAAATAGTACTACTTACTACTAGTTACTACTTACCTCTTACTACTTGTGTAGGAATTGAATTGTATTGTGTAGGAATTCAATTGAAATAGTACTTACTACTAGTACTACTTACGTCACTAGTTACTACTTGTGAGGTGGAGTAGGTAATTAGTTTGGGGGGATTCCACATGACTACTTTGGGGGGATTCTACATGACATTGAATGTCCTTGGGGGATACCATCGTACCAGCTGTGGTTGCTCAATGGAGAAGCAGCCATTTGGATGCTTTTTGTGGCAGCCGGTATGGGAGGGATGTAAAGAGACAGTCAGATCGGGTGGCATAAAACTTCTGCAAGTTTCTGTGGAAGGGTGTTCATCATAATGAGGCTTCTGAATAGGGTCAGTGTGCATATGCTGCCTTTTGCTCCAGTTTAGTACCCAGGGTTTTGGTTTTTTGGCGCATCCACACTAAGTCATCCCCTCCCTAATTGTCCACTTTGCCATGGTCTTACCCAGACCTGATTTGGTATGAACTTTTTGGGAAAGATCATCACCAAAGCATGCTCACATGTCATGAGGACAGGAAGGTGCACATTTTTGCAAGTCCCACCCACATTGGCACTATTTTCCTTGCATCAGCCCCCCCCCCGGTCTTTTCCCTTTCCACTGGAGGACTCTCTTGGCCCTTTAAAATATCAGAAGGTGACATATTGCTGTAGCGTTATGATGTTATAATGATCTATCTGCCAGCTATTCTGAATTCTCAGCTTGCTTGCTTTTTAAAACTTTTAAAAACTCTGCCCTTTTTTGTTGGGAAGATATGCTTTCCCCCTTATATCTCCACTACAAAAGGGGCTAGAGACTTTCTTTTTCTTTTTAATGAAAGCAGGGAGTTCAGAGGAGATTGTAGACAGGCCATTAAAATGTTATAATGCTATAGAAATATGTCAGTAGATGATTTATTTATTTATTTTAAAAAACAACACTGGAAAAGCTTTCCAGTAGCTTGTTGGGGGGAAATGGTGACTGGGATAGGCTGAGGCAAGGAAAGCAGGAGGGAAACCGCCATGTCGAGGCTCTGTTGTCACAGCAAATGCCCCTGCAGTGATCATGCAGTTGACTCCTACCACTGTGAGCCCACCTCTTTGCTGTTAATGCAGAGCTGTCCATATTGGGACATTTGGTTAATATAGCAGAGTTTTGCCCAGTCATAGAAGCATAATACAGAGTGTAGAAAATAAATCTCCCAAGAAGTATATTGCATAAATAAATAAATAAACTTACGTTTATTCAAATAGATCCAGTTCACATTCAGGTTGCAGCTGAAAGGAGAGAAAGAAGCCTAATCTAAAGAGCGCGTTCCCTGTCACAAGTGGTCAGCTTGTCCAACATCATGTGTGTGAGAGTATGAGCACATTGTAGCTACAGGAAAGACCTGCAGAGACATGTCTATGTGGAATGCCATGTGCAGAGAGAGAGGACAAAGGGAGAGAGAGGAGGGGTCAGAAGGCAGCTCCCAGATTAAGACAAAGAGGCATCCCATTCAAGGAGATAAATCCTATACACACTTAGAATGATGCACCGCTCCCCCCCCCCAATGTCCAGGCATGCTGAGTTGCTCACAGGATGGGCACGAAGCAGCTCACGAACTAAAATTCATGACGAATTTTGGCTGGTTCATGGTTTGTGAAGTTCATGGCAGATCCACAAACTTTCAAGCTGTTAGTGGAGGTTCATGCCAGTTCATGAAACAGACAGACTGCACAATGTAAATGTTTATCAAACTTCAAAGCAACAGAGGGGCAGAAATTGTCAAGGAGCATATGGGGGAGGTCCTCTGTGACTTTGATATCTCCAGCTTGCACAGGATCTGTTCTATACACTCTTGAACCTCCTGAACCTGCACCTGTCAAAATGACCACCTGTCATTGAGAAGTGGTCATTTTGACAGGTGCAGGGTCCAGAGTGTATAGAATGGATCCTGTGCATGATAGAGACACCAAACTCACAGGGGATCTCCAGCTGACTCTCCTCTACCTGCCCACCACATTTGGTGAGGATTGGATTTACGGGATCCGAGTTATGGCTCCCCAAAAAAGGTTCCCCAGGGAAAGTGCTTTCTGGGGAAATGACAGGTGGTGATCCCCTGTGAGTGTGGTGTCTCTAGCATGCTGGGGGGGCTGTTCTACTGGGTCATGAATGTCATGAACCAGTTCATTTTGCCTGTAAAGTGTGTGACAGTTCATGGTTCATGAACTGGGCACACCACAAACCAAACTGCATTCTCTCAATTCATGCCCATCCCTAGTTGCTTACTTCAGAGTATATGTGTGCATGCAGCAGAAAGAGAGAGATGCTAAAGGAAACAAAACAAGTCTGGGCGGCATCTCCCCTCATAAGGAAATGAAGGGTATAGCACCGAATAACTTTGCTGTTCTGCCTTCATTCTCAGTCCTAATATGTTAGTAGAAAAAAATGCTATATTTTTGAAAACCTTGGTTCCCAGCTAACTGTATCCTATATGCAAGGAGTTCTTTGCTCTAGCAAACCTTGAGTCATGACTCCTGCTTTGGAGCATGCTTTTTGAGGACTCCCTGAGACTGGACTTGCCAGCCTCTATGAGTTTTTCCCTTTTAAGGAAAACTTCAGTTAATTTCAGTTTATTTGTTGTTGGGTTTGTTTGTTTGTGTGTTGCTATAAGCCACACGCAAATCAGTGTCAGAAAATCAACACAGCACAGAAGAAGTGCTCAACTTTGCTGGACTGTGTGCCCTAGTATACTAATAAAGGCAGAGGTGTACATGAAACTTCATAGTTATTCAGGTCGCTGCTTTGCACATCACAGTCTCCATGGCAATCATTCATGTGTTCCTTAATAACTGAATTTCGGT